CCTTGTTCGGTGTTTGTTCGGTGTTTGGGTCCTGATCCATAAAACCCCACCCCTCCCAGCCAAGGAAAAGCATAGGATAAATGCAAAAGAAGCGTAAAGGGACAATCTAAGCACTAGAGCAACGTTAGCTTAATGAAGCAGTTTTGGTGTATAGATCCTGCACCATCACTGCTTAATTCTTTGCTATTTAGGAGTTACATCATTTTTTTTTTTTTATGCAGCCCTCGTCATACATCCTCTGGCTTCCCTCAGGCAGCCAACATTATTTTAATTTTATTATTTTCAATCAGATGCGATGGCATATTGTGTTCACTTTAGAGGTTTTTATTCACTGCTCTGTTAATTGGACTTTAATCACACACTGGAGAATCATGCAGGTTCTACTAGTCTACTAACTGTGCAAATAACAAAGTTTAAAAATTAGATCTCTCTTTACAAGAAGTGTTTATGGAGACTGTGTACATCACATGCAGGGGAGGTGAGGCTAGGGCTGAATAAACAAAGTGATTTAACTTCTAAATGGCAGAGGATTGTGCAGTACCATTTAATTTCATTATGTTCCAAAGCTTACCCGACCAAAGACGGTGCAATGACAAAGGCCACCATTGCCAAATTTGAAATGTTGCTCAGTGAAAGCAAGGTTAATTAATATCACAATACTTTCAGCAAAGGGAAGATTGACCTTTGCTCGGGTAATCCCTGCTCCTGACTGCAGATCACTTAAAATGGCGAAGCTCAGGTTAGGAACATGAGGTGCTCACCAATGGAATTAAAAGGTAGTATATTTATACATGCTTTCAAACTTACAGGGGGACCTGCAAATAAAGGCACATTTTCATTACAAACACTATAACCTTTAATGATAGTTTTCCTTTAAGTTATAAATCCAAGCAACACGTGAATTGCTGCGATTGGATTTATGGATTGATGATTTGCCAAGTTTAGGCATCCCCCCCCCCTTTTTTCCCCAGTGGATTTTTATTTCAATACAAATTGTAATTTAGTAAATATGATCCCCGTAACCCTCACGTGGTTTGGTTTCCTGCAAAGGAAGTCATTCTTCCTGCTCCGTGACGAATGTCAACTATCAGCTCTGTGATGTACAAAGGAAAATCATCAAATGGCTGCAAGCAATAAAATTAACCCCAAAAGAGCGATTCATTGTAGTTTCGGTAATTAGATGAAATTCTCTTTGATATCAGGAAACCTGTTGGTGCCGCATATTATTGACTCAGCCGACGTGTCTAAGTAGTATTTTCCATCAAAACAACTGTAATGAGTTATTTGCAGTCATTATAAGGTGGATGTGAGCCCGGTGCATGAATATTTTGTGGGCTGGATTAGTGTAGAATTATACCTGCACTCTAGAAGAGTCTAAGAGGTTCACTAAAGATACAGATATTCACTAAAGTGAGAATTCAAAGGGAATTAAAAAAGTTAGGTAGAAACAGCAACACTGTAAAAAGTCTCTAAGTCAGCTAGGGTTTCTGTTTGGCTGCTCTGGTCTTCAATGTGAAATTCTGAGGAGCCAAAAGGATGCTTACAATTAACTTCAGAGACCACAGGGGGAGATTTACCAAAGTGTCGTCGACATTTTTACATTAGCTTTTTGGCTCAATTTATAAAATCTGTTGGAATTTTAGATTTTTTTGCTATTTGTGCCCTAATTGTAATTTTTGAATACAGTGGAACCTTGGAACTCGAACCCAAACGATTCGGTAGTCAAGCAAAAAATTAGAGAAGAAAATGTCTCGGTACACGAACGATCCTTGGTACCCGAACAAATCATGCCACAAACATGTTAAATTATAAAGCTATGTCTCACTTTAGACACATTTTAAATGCCAGTAGAACAGTTACCTATCCCCAACCAAACAATAATATCTATTTTCCTTTCCACTTACACCATCAACTCTCATCATTACAGGTAAAGTGAAGTTACATTGTCTTTTCATTTACTGTACATTGTGTTTAAGATTTTATGTATGTAAAATATTATTATATTGTAAAATTTGTATTAAAATGCCGTAAGTTTGGGGGCTGGAATGGATTAATCAAATTTGCATTATTTCTCATGGGAAATGTTGATTCGGTTCTCCAAATCAGAACTCAAACAGCCTTCTGGAACAGTTTGAGTTCCGAGGTTCCACTGTATGCATGATTTTGTTTTCTGAATTCTGAGTTCTGAATTTTTCTGCCACTTATTCCAACAGAAAAGTGGGAGGAATTTGACAGTAAATGACAGTAAACTTGGCAGTTTTCTGGGGGGAGGAGGAAACATTAGAGAAAATTGGCAAAATTTACTATAAAAAGGAACATTTAATAAATTCACTCAAAATAACCTTGTCACCTCAGAGGGGGTATGATAACATTATACAAATGTATCCGGGGCTAATACAAACCATTGTGTAGAAATCTGTTCACAAACAGGACTATACGTAGGACATGAGGTCACACATTTAGACTGGAAGAAAGAATATTTAGTCTAAGGCAAAGGAAAAGTTATTTTTTTACTGTAAGAACAATAAAGATGTGGAATTCT